AGTGTTTGGTTTTGATAAGTAAAGTTTTCGTTCGTTACTTCTCAATGCATAATCGTCGTTCTGGGACATAGTAAACATTTCTGTTAAATATTTTGGTGTCATTTTGTTAGTTGCCTTAAATGTCATTGTTTGTTCACGTTGTTCGAAGATATTTGCAATGGGCTCCCAATTCAATCTATTTATGATCTCTGCTGATCTTATGTCCTACCCTGAGTTAGTGATAACACGTGCTGGGTTTTTTTTTTGTAATTTACTTAATTTGTCAATGTGGGTGATATTTCCGTTGTGCCAAACTGTTGAGCAGTAAGTGAAATGTGGTAGGACTAGTGAATCGTACATTGTAATAAGGGCATTTTCTGTCAGAAAACTTTTTGTTCTTCCCAAAAGTGCAATGTTTTTTGAATTTTTTGCCCATTGATTATCTATATGGTTATGCCAATTAAGTTGTTCGTCAAGAACCACTCCTAGAAATTTTTTGTTAGAAACTCTCTTTATCATATGATCTCCTATTAATATGTCAGGATCTGAATTTATTTGATTAAGCTTTTGTTTCGAACCAACAATCATATATTCTGTTTTCTCAACACTTAAAGTTAGTTTGTTAGCTAATAGCCAATTATGAACACTGTTCAAGTTTGAGTTAATTTTTTGTTGAATGTCAGTTGCTAATTTTCCGTCACAGAATATATTAGTGTCGTCTGCAAACATTGATGCTTTTGTAGACCTTAAGCAATTTGGCAAGTCATTGATGTAAAGTAAGAAAAGCAGTGGTCCTAGATTTGAACCCTGAGGGACTCCGCAAGTAATTGTAGCTCCATCTGATATTTCATGATTAATTTTGCAAACTTGCAATCTCCCTCTCAGATACGAAACAAACCATTGTAATGCTGTTCCTCGTACTCCGTAAAGCTCTAATTTTGAAATGAGTATGTTGTGGACCACAGTGTCAAATGCTTTTTTGAGATCAAGAAACAGTAGACCATTAATAAGGCCCTGGTCCATATTTACAAGACATTGATTTACAGAATATAAGAGTGCAGTCTCTGTGGAGTGTTGAGTGCGAAATCCAGATTGATTTGTGGATACTATCTGGTGAAATTCTAAAAAAATTATTTAGTTGCCTAGGGACCAGCTTTTCAAAAATTTTTGCTACGGATGATGTTACTGAGATAGGTCTGTAATTATCGCAATCCATCTTGTCCCCTGATTTGTAAAGAGGGGATACCTTAGTGTGTTTCAAATCGTCTGGAAAAATTCCGGTATCGATAAATAGATTAAAAATTTGACTTAAGAAGCCGATAATGGTCTCCCCGGCTGCTTTTAATAGTTTATTTGAAATTTTATTTAAACCTGTTGATTTCCCGGATTTTGCTTTGAATATCTCGCATCGATCTTAATTCATCCATTGTTATATTATTTAGCTCGAATACCTCACACAGGACGAAAAGCGCGTCTTTAATATGCTATTAAAGTAGTATTAAATGCGTACTTTATTCGAGTTTAATTGCACTTAATGCGAATTATTAAAGTTACTAAATGTTTCTTTTATCGCCTTTAGTCTGCTCAATTAAGTGTATTAACGACGATTTTAATAACGTGATACTAAAGTCGATTAAATGTTACTAAATGTGCGCTTAATTTTCCTAATTAAAGGCGCATTAAAGCTGCTTAAGTAAGTATTTAATCACATTTAACAACAGTATTATTGTTGATTAAAGACGAGTTTAATACCAAAAATGTTTGTTTCTTAAAGGTTATTAAATGTGGATTTATTCCGTCAATTAAAGACCACTTAAAACTCCATAAAGAGTAAATTAATCGTGTTTAATTGTTGATTAAACTTTGTGTAAGTGCGATTTTAAAAGGCTTTAGTAACGCTATTAAATTTGCAATAACCTGCGTGACCGATTTCAATTTTTTGTACTTTTGCATGAAGATGTGAAATTGTGTAAACCTTTGCATGCGTGTAAAATACAAAAAGGCTGCATTAAATTTATCATAGTTCATTCATTCATTCATTCATTCAGCATTCGCAAGTTAAACATGAAAAATGCATATAAAGCAACTGTACATTACCGCAAAGTCTGAAGTCAAGAAACAAGACACAACATGCGTTCGTTGTCAATATATTTATTAACATGCACAAGGGCAATGTATTTACAAATTACAATCACAAAAACACAATTTACGTAACTTAGCCTTTATAGTGCCTATTATAGTATAGGCTCTGCCTAAGGCAGCGTTTACACTGTACCGTTTTCGTAGCGTTCTCGTATTGTTCGAGAGAACTAGACTATTGTCTTGCGTTCCCTTGAGGATCAAGAACAATACGAGAACGCTACGAAAACGGTACAGTGTAAACACTGCCTAAAACATTGTCATTGATCTTAATGTACCGTTTTCGTAGCGTTCTCGTATTGTTCGAGAGAACTAGACTATTGTCTTGCGTTCCCTTGAGGATCAAGAACAATACGAGAACGCTACGAAAACGGTACAGTGTAAACACTGCCTAAAACATTGTCATTGATCTTAATTCACAAACTGCGCATTTGGTTGGCTTCTTTTACATCACGGACCAATCAGGGACTTTGTTTACAAATTGGCTTGTGAATTCCAAAATGAACTTCCGAACTTCGCAACGAACTTCGCAACGAAGTTCGGAACATTTGTGGTCAAAGTTTTGTGAAATCGACTGTAAAATCGTCCGCGGGGTGGGGCATTTTCCACTCTCAGCTTGCTCAGGGGCCATGCATTAGTCTTCAAGTTGTGTCCCGTCACCTGGGCATTTACACTATCATAACCAATCAAATCAAATGGCCGGGTGTGTTCCGGGGGGGGGGGAGAGGATGGTTACTCCTGGAATTGACTCATGCATTAGAGAAATGTTCCTTGTTATTTTTGCTATTTGTAATAAACTAATTGTGTTCTTGGCCACAGGAACCAATTTTTGATCACTAAATTATATTTTGATATTTACTGTCAGTTGTATTTTCTATGTAGATGCATAATTTGTGAATTATAATATTTGACGTTATCTGGATATTACTGTTCAGTTTTGTCCAATGTCCCCTAATGTCGCTCAATGTTGCCCAGTTTCGCCCAGCGACGCACACTACTTTTCTTTGAAAATTGCCAATGTCGCCTAATGTCGCACAATGTTGCATATAATAACGGCGACCTTGGCCCCCAAAGTAGGCCTAGTGTGCTACCGAAGTCAATATGAGTTGCTCACATACTGTAATTCTGTAAATATTATGTGAGTCCAGTGCTTGCCCCACTTGCAGTATTTTCAGAAAGAAATACTGTAAACCCAACCTTGTTCGCACATCGGTCAGCTCACATGCTCACGCTTTTAACAACTTTAAATAAGATGCATAGTCTTTTTTTTCTGTGTTGGTGTTGTGTGCTCAGGTGAATAATATGTTTGTGATGTTACTCTGAGTGTATATCCACACCGGGCGAGCTTGAAAAATATGCCCGGCCAAGGTGGGAATCGAACCAAAGGTCGTAGGTTCGATTCTCACCGTAGCCGGGCATATTTTTCAAACTCGCCCGGTGTGGATATACACTCAGAGTAACATCACAAACATAAGTCTTGCCTATACATAATATTGCATGCATAACATGCATTAAATACATACAGTAAAGGTACAGTTACCTGTTTGTTTACTTCATCCTTGCCATTTGTTTTCTCTGCATTTGGCTCCTGCACTTTTCTTTTGAGATCTTTCCTTTCAGTAATACCCTTAAATAAAGTTAAGTTAATCAATTTAGTTGGAACACGTTCCCCTTGTTTAAAGTAAAATCTGGCAGCGGTGCTTAGGCAATTTAGTGCTATAGACAGAGTAAAATCAATCTCGTACCCAGAGCAATACCTGTGCGCGGGCGACGAAGGCATTGGCTCAAGGGAAATCGACAACCTGAACCCCTAAATTCAGGAGTTCCGGTTGTTGACGGCATGCAATTTATTGATAAACGTTAAACCAATCAAAGTACAGGAAAAATTCTATTTCCCCATAGCCAATGCCTCCCTCGCCCACTCATTGCTCTTGGTACAAGAATGGAGTAAAATTGGAAAGAAGGGGAAAAGAAGAAGGGAAAATTATTAGAAAGGATTAGAAATAGTAATTTGTAGTGTTGTTGTTCAAAAATAATAAATTGATATTATTGGTTTATTGTCGTTGCAACGTTTATAAGATTAAGATTAAGAAGAAGGATATTACAAATACCAGAAAGCCTCCTTGGCCAGCGCGTGTCGCTGTGTCTGGTCAAGGAGGGCAACGAGCGTAAAGACGAAGATGCAAACATACATTTTTGTTCGTTCTCGCCGGCGAACGTAACAGTGTTTATAAAAGATTCGTAAACGAAAGAAAAATACTCTATCTGTGGAAGACATAAATTTGTTAGTATCCCCAAGAGTTGATGCTTGCGATGTTACCCTGAGTGAATATTATCCGCACCTGGCAAGCTTGAAAAATATGCCTGGCCATGGTGGAAATCAAACCTACGAACTTCGGTCCTGGCCAGGCATATTTTCAAGCTTGCCCGGTGTGGATATACACTCAGAGTAACATCACAAGCATCATAATCACCTGAATCAGAGACAGAGTACACTACGCCAATATAGATAATTATCATGGTATTCGGTTTTACATCAGTTAGCATTAGCTACAGATTGAAGTTTCAGGTATTCAACATATCAATCGATTGATAGACTCCTAGACTAATTTAAAGTGCATGGTATAAATGCCATTTAAGGTTTTGATAAATTAAATATTTAAAAAATCAAACCAAATTTTCTTACCTGACCTGAAAATAGTAAAAGAACTTTGCTGAAGCCAGGTCAGTGATAGAAGGAATGTGTCACAATTGCTGGTTGGCATCCTATTCTTTACACAGCAAATTTCTGGAATTTTCTATTTCTTGTATACCCCAGGCAGTGCCTGCTTCAATTCCCTATGAATGTATTGAAATTTAACTTAATTTAACATAATTATATTTGACAAGTCAGAAAAGTGGTGTAGTCAATTTATAGCTATAAGTCATTGCACAAGGCAAATGGTTAGTTTATCTCATTTGTCAAATATTGATGGATTGACCACAGGGGCATAGAGTAAGGATTGAATAGAGGGGCCACTCGTGTCGGAACCTTTGAAGTTTTTGTCCTCGCGCATGTCGCCTCGCGCATGTTGGCCGCCATTTTGGGGGCGAGTCGATTTCTCACAAACAATAGTGCGTAGATAAGGGGTGACAGTGAATATAGGCCCATATGGCTCAGTTATGGCCTCAAATTCAAAAATTATCCTTGAAATCGGAAAATATGAGGTAAGTAATTGTTTTTACCTTTCTTATGGCATTATTTAACCTTTTTTTAAAGCCAAATTTTGATATTTTATTGTGCGACTATGGAGCCACCAAAGGCCTGTCCTGACGTATGCCTGATGTTGTCTAAATAAGTTCAGTGATTTTCTTCTGTTTGAGATAAAATGTTGAAGAGGTTTTAATATAATGTATTTCTTTGGATTGGCGTCCTTACCAGATTATCCTTGACAGGTTTACAACCGAATAAAGCACCAAGTTTATACCCGTATATTTGTGCGTATTGTGTTTATAGTGTATTGTGCTGACACATTCAGTTAAAGTCCAACAGTGATCTTGTGATCTCGACTTTAAAAAATCTGGACAATCTCAATAGTTTCTTGATATTATATAACCATTTAGTCTCTTGACTGTCTTAATAGTGAACGCTGTGGTATGAATTTATTAGTACTCTACAAGTGGGTAACTTTAATGTACTTTTTGCTTTTCTTGTTCTTCTTCTTGGATGATAAATTTCGGTTGGCAAACTTAATGCTGTAGTAAATTCTCATTCGTAAGAACAACTTCAGCAGATACTCGAAAGGAAATTCTGGACAATGCTGAAATGAAACTGGAACACATTGTAGTTTCGTTAAGATGCTTTTCCCAACCCCATCACTCTTGGTATACATGGAGAAATCTTTCACAAACAGGTCTTCTAGTTGTATGACATATTGTAAATATGGTGCTGTAGGTGCTAGAAGTCCTCCAAAACTTTTATCTGATTTGTACGCCTTGAAGAAACAAAGCAAGTTCCTGTTGTCACCAATTTCATCTGTGACCACAGCTTCTCTACATGTTGAACACTCGTGATGTTTAAAACATTTCTGGAGTAAGTACCCAGCAACATAGGCAATTGGATTGTCTTTCAGTAGGTTCTCAGTAACCTCATTGTCACGATAATCCACAGTTCCAATGTCCAAGTTTGGTGATACTTTTGGTGGGGCAGCCATAGCAGGAACATTACTCTTCTTGGATTTAGCTTTAGCAAACTGGGCAAGAAGGTCATCAAAATCCTCAGCACAATTCCCTGTTGACGAATTCAAGAACGAGCTGAAGAACAGCTTTCTGAAGGCACGGGTGAACTGGATAGGGGTCGGATTATCACTGTTACCACCTTGCTGGCGAATGGAACCAAAAAAGTTCTCTATCGGATCGGTGTTTAACCTTCTGGTGAGAAGAAATTTGAAGGCATGGTTTTGATGAAGCTGATCCCAAATCGAAAGAATGGCTTTGATGGTAACCAACCATCCTTTGAGACACTTGATCCTACCAGTGACTTCTTCATTCCCTTGAAACACTTTCAACTCCTTAATAAAGGTAAATGCTTCCTCCATGTATCTTTGGTGAGATGAGGTTGTGGTCATGGCACGTTTCAATACCTTTGATGAGTTGATTGTCGACACGTTTACACAATCAAATAAAGAATCAAACTTGAACAGAAGTTCAGCAGTTCCCATAGCTGATGATGCAAGGCCCCCAATGCTCACATACGTGCACAATGATGCCGCTACTGTGTGGCTCAAGACTTGAGTAGCATATTTCACCTTCATTTTGCAAAAGTTGTTTGGTCGAATATGTTTCTCAGTTAGTTTGGGGGCAGCTCTGATAGGTAGCTCCTTATCTTTCTCATAGAAATCTGCTATATCTTTCCATTGAGCGGTGTAGTTGCCAAACTTGAATGTATACTTCATCAGGTTGTTCCGGACACACTTGATCAGGTGTGGTGGGTCGAACATCAGGAAGTACTTCTTGTTGTTGTGGATAAACCATGGCCTTTCTGGAGTGACTCCCAAGTGGTTAGCCAGGCTTTGGAAGTTGCTTCCCATATCAGACATAACAACGACAACATTAAGTCCAATCCGTTCAACTTTGTCGATGGCACTTTTCATTAACTCCTCCATTTCATCCCTCGGACATCCTCCATTCACCAAGGCATAGCCAAGTGGCTGTTTCCACTTTCCAGAGATGCTCCTTAGAAGAATTGTTAATGCCTGATTTGCCACTTTGTTGGTACGGATTCCATTTCCAAAATCTTCAAGACCGATAATCCTGTCCTTGGTTATGTCATAGTACAGGTTAGTTTTAAGGGACACCTCATCCATGCAAAGGGTACATAGTTTCTCTTGCTCATTCATGCTATCAACCTTTTTCTTTATTATATTTAGGGCACCCTGGGAAATTCCTGTGGCTGCTGGCATCCTGGAGATGTAGCGACGGAGTGATGACTTTGTTGGCAGTATGAATAACTTCGACAGAACTCTGTAGGCCTTGCCACTTGCATGATAAAGAGAGACAGCAATTGATTTCATTTGAGGTGAGTATCTTCTTCCCTTTTTTTTCTTGCTATGCAATTCCAACTGCATCCTGACAAAATGAGCCAAATTTTTGGGCAGTTTGTCAAGTGCTTCCTGTAACGTTCTGTCCTTCTTCCCTTGTCTTGCAGGCTTTTTCTTTTTTAGGGCTTCTTCCAAACGATTGATTTTCTTCCTTTGACTACCAATAACTTTCCTTTGTTTGGTTTTCCTAGGCGTGTTCTTTGACAGGTCACTGCTTGTTTGGCAAATGGAATCTTGCATTTGACTTTCACCACTTAGTCCACTGTTCTCTCCTTGGAATGGAGAAGTTGGATGCAGGGGCTCTACACAATGAATAAAAAACTGTATTTATACACACAAACTATACAGATACAGTAGTTATAAGTGTACTGTGAAAAGTGTGTAAAACTCTGTCTGTATGCATAATTTTAGATTTAGGGGCTGTTTACATGAGCCCGGCTAGCCTGGTTATCCGGGCTGAAACTTTAACAAGCCAAATATGGCGGGGAAAAGTTGTTTACATACTTGTTAATACTGTAAGGTTTGTCATGCAAGTCAAATGCTCGTTTTATGGAGCTAATTTTTAATTTAAAACTATCTAATCAACATGAACAACTTAAAAAAGAACTATTTGATAAAAATAATACTAATTCAAATCAATATTTTAGCTTGTATAGAAGTTTTTCGCTAGCCTGATTACCCCGTGCTGGTGACTTTACATGGGAACATTTTAGCACGGTTAGCCAGGCATCCTCAGTTATTAACTGGGCCAACCGGGGGCTCATGTAAATAATCCTTTAATCAAACACTGTAAAAGATCGGGGGTCTAGCTTAAGGTATAACTAACCAAAAATTTATCTCAAACATACAAAACGGACTTTTAGTAGCAATTTATTTTCAACTAAGGCAAAATTATTTGTTGTACTAGGAGCGAGTTAAAAGATATTGGGTACAGATTGCTTGGCATCAAGCACATTTGTCATTTTGTTTCACAAAGCATTTTACAGGGGCAGTACTATTAATGCATACCTGATGTACTGGTTTCTGGAATGTCACTTTCAGAGTTTTTACTTGCTGTTTTATTTGCGTTGGCAGCTAAAAAAACCCTTTTGTTAGAGAATTTGCAATGTACTATATAGTATATAACTACGATGTAAAAGTATAAAATTAAATCAATGCGACAATACTAGCTTATGAGTTATGTTTTAGTTAACTGGGTTTTTTAAATTATTTATTGGGTATGAATACAAATGCCAATATTACAAGATCGATTACTACAATATTCAATAATAATGTTAGCTTAAAACAAAAAAAATTCATCCCAAATGGTGGAGGTGCGATTTATATCACCTCTTATGACAATGCACATACCATGTTCAGTCCTTTCCATTCTAGCCTTCTTGGCTGTAAAAAGCATAATTTTCATGTAATTAGAGACTTTTTAATGTAGATTTTTTTTCATAACTTACGTCTACTGAACTTAAATAAAACTACCTTGGCTATGAGATACTGTTTTCCTTTCAATAGCTCTTCTTTTCACGCCCACTGTGGGTGGTGGATTCGGGATGTTAAATAAGGTTGGTTTTGCTTCAGGGTTAAGGCGATTTTTTAGGTCGTTGCTAAACATGATGTCTTCGAAATGCTCTGCACATATTCTCACATTCTTGTACAAGTATTCCGCGTCCTTTTTGGCAAAGTCTTCGCGTCTACAAAGCACTACCCATTCCTTTGATCTGAAAATGCCAAAATACAATTTTTCTGTCAAACTTGTGGAGACAGGTTTAATTGCAACGTTGTATTTTGAGAACAATTATAGAACATACCTTTGTCTATCACGCGGAAAGCGAAAGAAACTAAGCTCTGGATGCGAATGTTTGCTGTTGGAACAGTTAACAGCAGAACAGAACGTACGCCCTCCTCCTTTTCCTTTGTATTTTTTTACAGCGTTTGCCATTTAAATGATTTTTGTAGCAAAGAAAGAACTGTGTTTTTTGTAAAGTAGCCGTATGACAAACAATATTGCACGTGGTTAGAGATTGGGACTGGGTGGGGTTTGTGCAGAATTTATTTTATTAACCAATTGGCAATTGCTTGTTCAATGTAATACAATTAATTGAATATGTCCCCTTCTAGGCCTCCTAAATAACAGTTCAACTAGCTTCCCAATATTTTAGCCATATTTCTGTTTGCATGTTGCTTGATTATACAATTCAACAAACTACAAGTGGAATATGTTTAATATATAGTACCTAAAATAATATGTTTTGTTTAATTAATAATCCTTAAAATTTATTGCAAAAATTATTTAACCCATTAAGCTGCAAGAATCCCTTTGACGAGTAAAATCAATTAGTGTTAGACAGAGTAAAATGATAAAAATCTGACCACTCAATGGGTTAAGGCTAGAAGGAAAATTGGGGGGGGGGGGATATAACATTTTATAACATCAAAAGTGGGGATACTAACTATTAGAGAGAAGACAATGGGGGATTAATAAAATATTGAGATGAACAGGCAAAAATTTTGATATGCAGACCTTGCCCCCCCCTCCTGCCCTTTTGTAACGGGGGGGGGGGGGCAAAGGTTTTCCTTATTAATACATAGATGTATTATATACATAACTTTGTTTGGTTTTGCCTTGGCTATTGCGATGTATGGGTAACATGTTTTTGTGTCAATGGGGAAATCACATTTCCGAGGTTCTAGATTTCAGAATTTCTTAGGGGAGAACCCCTAGACATGCAAGGGCCTGTTCATTTCATCAGTCAGAAAATTGTCTGTATCTGCCCCTGCAATGGCCCCTCCAGCATCCCTGTTGATATGAACAACCATGTGCATTCTGGAGCAACAAATGGCCATGTATGCAAGTCTGTATTAAAAGCATTATATGGTGGATTACATGTGGTTACACCCTGCTGGCAGAGCCTATTATACGAACTTGCGAAGTAAAATAGGCTCTGCCAGCAGGGTGATGTGGTTAATATTTTGTATATGTTTATGTATGCAAGGCAATAGGGGGGGGGGGGATACCGATTTTTTCGAACCAGGCCAATTTGCAGGAGATACCTATTTTTCCACAAATTTGAGGAGGATATAAAAACAACTATAGTCAAATTCCTCCTATCCACCCCCTTCCGTTTTTAACGACCACAGCCTAACAAGAGATATTGGCAGCTACAAGACCCTCTTAAAGGGGCCCTACAGTCATTTTTTAGTTGAAAAGCCACCTGAAGTAACTGTTTACATTTTTTGTTATTGTCGCTACTTGACATGTGCAGAAGTACTCGTACTCATGGACACTGCATGTAAGATACAGCAAAACAAATCTCTGTGGAGTCCCCTAAGGTGGCTTTTCAACTAAAAAATGACTGTAGGGCCCCTTTACATTTTAATTAAAATCTCGCCAGAGGTCATCTCGCATTGTTGAGTAACATAGTTTTCTGTTCCATTTTTTACAGTTTTTAAATATTTGTAGCTGCAGCTGTTAGCCTGCATATCTTCTATCTTCATATTTGCAAGTCTGATTAGTTTTCTGTTGACATCTGAACCAAATACATGCCATTTACATGTGCACACCAGTTCTACGTTCATGAACAGTAAAGAAGTTCTATACATCTTGACCCTGTGAATTTCAAATGAAATTTTGAGTTAAAACAATAAATCCATAATCGGTTATTTATTATTATGCTAGTAAGGGCACACAGTATGTATATAGGGGTGTCTTGTATTAGTGCAGATAATATTACATATCAAGACTTATTGTTTTTATTATGAGAGAACATTGCTTAAAGAAAGGATTCAACAATAAGCAAAAGTACTATTCTTTGGACGTAAAGTCGATTTATACACAAAACATGTACAGTCTTGTGAAGGTTTGACAACCTCAGAGCCGGCTCAGGCCGCTCCACTCCTCGCTCCTTCAACGGCCTTTTACAAGCGAGCAATATTAATTTAAGCACTCTTACCAAAACAGATATTTCCACTAACCTTTTATCTATAAGCTTTAGCCGTAGAGAGAATATCGGCCGGTTCGTTCAAAAATTATAGCGATTTTAGTGGCAAAAACTCCAAATTCTCCATATTGTTTACTACAAAACTCCAGCGCATCGACTCGCCAGCAAAATGGCGGACCTTGTCAGGGGGGGTGCTACAACTGTGGACATGTTGTACCCCTGAGTGGCCTCTCTGTTCCGTCTTTACTCTGTGACAGGGGGCAGAAAAGTACGATTGTGTTTTATAAATACCTTGTCATCAACCAATATCCCATATTTATATCACAACAATCCGTAGACATAGTCATAAAAGGTCAAAATTAGCTGATTTTTATTTTTTCGATAATATCATGCCTTCTACTTCATGTAATCCAAACATATTGCATTGCAACGACAATTTCCGAACATCTTACGAAAGGATGCCGAGGGTGTAACCCGTACATAAAATAAGAAAGGGATGAAACGCCGAAAATCTTTCGTTCAATGTGCACCGCAACAACTGGTGACGGAAGTGACGTATTACGCACTTACAAAGATATTGCGCATGACTAAAACTATTTTTCCAACTGATTTATATATATATAATATATTACAGGCTCATACAGTATTTTTATGATTAGTATTATTACAGTTTCAAAATAACAATATGCTGATATAAATTGTCACTTATTGAATTGTCACTGAATTGAATTCTTCTTGAATTGAATTGTCACTTATTGAAAGAATTGTCACTTATTTGATAATCCATACAAAGCCTACTAAATACAAGCCAAATTGCACCGGTGTTTTATATACTTACAAAAAGGTCTATATTAACCGAATTATCAAAACCGTTTCAGAGTTTATTTAAATTTACTGCCATTTTTTTCGCCCCAGAAGTACATGTTTAGTTTATTTTTGAATTTAAATAGTCTATTGATATATCTTAAGTCTGCACACACGCCGAAGACGAGTTTATATCGTGACCGGTTTGTGTAAAGACTGCCGTTTGGATTACAGTCATAGACAAAGTTCAAAGTCGTGGATAACTGAATATATTCACGGTTGATCGATTCAAGAACAATTGTTTTAAAATTATTGAAAAGCTTTATACCATTTAGATACAAGAGCGCGTGTTGCTTTTGAAACGGGTGATTCGCATTTCTTTTTAATAGTGACAAAACGTTCCATATTTGAGTAATTGAGTTTGAATTTTGCAATATTTTTTTAAATTTGTCAGTTGTTTATATTCAAATTATTAACCGTTAATTCGATTAAAAGGTCATGGAAGATGAAAGGTCAATTTTCCTTCAACTTTCGTTCTACTTCCGGTTACAATGTCGAATTAACTTCCGTCACCAGTTGTTGCGGTGCACATTGAAACAAAATAAGCCAAAATTGTAGTCCCAAAAATTTCGGTTTAATAGCCGTTTCTTAAAATTTCCTTGGACAGGTATCCTGAGGGTATCATATCTAAACTGTACACAAAAAATAAAAGGTTTTGGTTCAGAAACACGCCAGTTATATCCATTCGAAGACAGGTATCCTGAGGGTATCATATCTAAACTGTACACAAAAAATAAAAGGTTTTGGTTCAGAAACACGCCAGTTATATTCATTCGAAATATTTCACGATCGGGGGTTTCATCCCTTTCTATTATTTGTACGTGTAAGCAAAGTCAATCGTTCCAGTATGAGCCCACGCTACTATGGTCAGTCCTTGTAATACAATGTTTGAATTACATAAAGTAGTTGGCATGATATTATCGAAAATCAACATAATTTTCATCGTGATGAAACCTGGATGAAATATGCGATATATTGGCTGATGACAAGGTATTTTAAATAAACACAATCGTACTTTTCTGCCCCCTGTGGATTGACATGCTAATTTTTCATTGACATGCTAATTTTTCAGAATTATTTAAAATGTTGATAATACCACAAGATATGCAGTGGCAGTTGTTTCAAGTTAATCAAGTATAATGTTTGAACTATAACAACTAGTATAAATGGTCTATGTGTCATGATCATGATTTAATACTACAGCCATCAGTGAACCATCATTATTAATTATTATGATTTTTATTGGCATTTATTTGTATCAAATAGAATATAACATCTTTTTCCATGCTAGTGCCTCATTTATTTTTATAACTTGCTATAGACCGTTGGGGTTTCCAAATTTTATTAATGGTCTTAAACTTAATTCAGATCATATCATATATAATAATTGTCGAATAAGCAAACTAAACAACAAGGCTTAATAAGCAATGAAAATTTGATAAATAGAGGTCAGTTTCTGATTAATTTAACAAGGGGAAGATGGCTTATCTGGTTAGGTAAGCCTTGAGTCAGAATATTAAGGGAGCCAAACCCCAACAAGGAGCTTCTGGCCCCCTCCCCCACCTGCCAACTGGCTTTGCCTTTTGCTTTGACAGCTTTATAAATACCCAAGCTTAATTGATAGATCCAATATTTCAATTTAAATCACATTCAATTCTTAATAACTAACTTGTGGTTCAAATCAAGAATCGTAAAGCTTGATACTAGTAAGAAAATAGTAAATTAAACAACAAAATAAGTCAAAATAGTGGGCAAATAGGCCTTCAAGCAAGGCATACAAAGTAAAAACAATAAAAAGGAAACTCTGGCCTTGTTTCTTGTAGTTATGCTAGCTTGGCAACTTGAGCAATAAGCGAAATATATATGCTATCCTGAATATTAGAGTTAAAGTTAATTTAAAATATATCTAGACATACGAGGACAACGTTAAATAATTGCAAATTAGAACTGTCAAATGAATATCTGTGGTCAAAATTCGGGAAAACATAAAAGTCAAAAGCTCGGTAAAAGCTCAAGAGGGATCTGAAAAACATTCTAAAATAAAATCTAACCGACTAGATATGAAGTAAAATCTACTAACCTTGTTTTGAGTGTCCAAATTCAACTTTCATTGTTGATCCAGCTGTGAAATAAAGCCTTTTTGGTGGAGAAATAAAAAGCCATTTTGTTGTTTCACCGGATATTTTGCTCAAATCAAACGTCGTATTTCCTTTCATTTTAAGCTTTAATCGTTGTATGTCTTTCAGAAAAGGCAGCATATACTCCACATTTTCCCTTAAGGTGCTCTATTTCGTCCCATCGGCACTAAAATAATATGTTTTGGTGCATTTTTCTGAGTGACAAAAGCTTGCAGTTTGTTGTCAAAAAATATTTTTGTTCTGACTTTGCGGCTTCGAAGATAAATATGGCTACGTGATTGGTCAATTTTCCCGCCAAAGAACATCTAGCCTGCAGTTGCGGGCGGAAGACGATTAGGGTGATGAGAGGTTTGGGTGATCAGTAATATGGTAGTGACTGATGGTACTATATTCACTTGTTTGTAGCTTTGTGCAACTATCTTCACATTTTCTTTCTTGCTTCGATAACTATATAGCAATTGCCATATTATTAAATAGCAAAAAAAATCTACGGCTTTTTGCCGTCTTGAACGTCCACGCATTTTTTGCCCTAATTTAGCTTAATATTCCTAGTATCAAGCAAGTATGCTTGCAAACAATTAAGTTTTGACTATTTCAGCAAAACTGCCCAGTCGGTTGAAATCAACTCTTAATCATTGAATAAATGTTTTTCAAGATTGTTTGTTTCACTGTTTCAGCATCTTGATATATATGAAGTCAAGTTCCACCTGTGACACGCTGGGGTATCAGCTATAGTTTCATACTGCGTTTACAAAGTATCTGATAGTGGAAAAAGATGAAAAAAAACTAGCATATTGAATTAAAGACAAATATATATGCGATAAATTTGCGCTATATGCGAATTTGGGGCAAATTTAGTATCGAATTTGCTATATGTATACTTCAATATGCCAAGGTGCATGTATGCCAATTTACTGTCAATTTGGTGTCAAATATTACTAAACTACATTGTAATTATCCCATCATACTGATTCATTTTGTATGGTATTATAGACAGCATAAGTCTTCAAGCCATTATCGAGTATTGATAATTATCTAGACTTCACGTCTGTTCTTTGCATTGTTATAGAACTTTGGATAATTCATATATTTCGGCTGCCAGGAATCAGTTGCTTGATTTTGAAAACCATGAAAGTATATATATATATAGAATTAGCTAGATCATTCGGATAAAAATATAGGAGAAAATACAATTTTCTCAAATACATCTGTAGCACGGACATGGATGCTTTAACCTGAATGTATATATATTGTACTCTATTATGTATACTGTCCCATCCAAACAGTCATGCACGCGCATTTCATGTATTATTTATGTACCAGTTGCACTGTTGTTTACTCACGCAATAAATCCTTGCTTCGGCGCTATAGGACCTATACATATGTTGCTGTTACGGGAAAATATAGAAAAATTAGGGCAAGTAAAAAGCTATGTCTATTAATTAATGCATTAACTGACTTCTATAATACATCTGCCCATTGTGCAAAGTTGATGTAAATATGCCATTAAATTTGCTACTACTAATTCAGTGTGCGAGTCCATATGCCAATTTATTGCAAATATGTTCCAAAAAATACGGCTTAACTTCCTTGCATCCGGCTGCAATGATGGTGTCAATGGTTATGACTTTGTACAAATGGGTATTAATCCATACACGAGATTCACACTATACAACAGTATCAAATCAATCCCAACATTAACGATTGAACAGTTTTCTGTGCTTCCAAAAACAAAATATATCGGGAGTGTTTTACCAAAACAATTACGGTAACAAACCAACTCCTCTCTACTCTCGAGAAGTCTTACATTTTATAGTTTTTCAGTATAGAAATGATTAGCTACTTCATATAGATGCGTATTTATCAGGAGCTCTCTCGTATATATCGCAGATCATAAAGTAGTCTTCAAAGTATTTCGATTAAAATTCTAAGCCGACTAATTTTGAAATCTTAGACTTAGTCTTAGTTCATAATATATGTTGACTTGGAAATAATAAAATCGGCATTTAAACAAAGCCAGCTTGAAGAATTTGCCACAAATTGGCAGCTATTGGCAAATGTGTTGCAAATATAGTAAATAAGTTTGCAAGCCTGCAAAGATGTAGGCAAATGTGAAGCGAATTTATCGAGTTGCAAACAAGATGAATTCGCAATGGTTGCGAATTCAAACTACTAAATTTGCATCAAATTTGCAACTATTGCAAATTTGGTGCGAACCTATCTTTATGAAGACTGCTACTCATAAATTCCCATGGTTTTTCCATGGTTTTTATCATCGGGCCCCCACTTTTCATTTACATGGTATTGACATACTTTATGAAGACTGCTACTCATAAATTTCCATGGTTTTTCCATGGTTTTTATCATCGGGCCCCCACTTTTCATTTACATGGTATTGACATAGTTACTTTATGAAGACTGCTACTCATAAATTTCCATGGTTTTTCCATGTTTTTATCATCGGCCCCCACTTTTCATTTACATGGTATTGACATACTTTATGAAGACTGCTACTCATAAATTTCCATGGTTTTTATCATCGGGCTCCCACTTTTCATTTACATGGTATTGACATACTTTATGAAGACTGCTACTCAATAAATTTCCATGGTTTTTGGTCATCGGGCTCCCACTTTTCATTTACATGGTATTGACATACTTTATGAAGACTGCTACTCAATAAATTTCCATGGTTTTTCCATGGTTTTTATTATCGGGCCGGCGTTTGAAATTTACATGGTTTTCCCACTATCCAGCTTCAAAAATGTCAAGTAATTTCCAAACTTTTCACAGTATTTTTACATAATAACTTTTTACAGACATTTTACATCGTATTGCTTCTTTCTGTTTCCGTGCCTATAAATTTACATGATCATTGCAAAGATGTAAATTTAAAGACAAGGGTATTTACAGTAATTATAGATTTACATGATATGTAAATTTATTGTAAATTAATTTACATAGTATGTAAATAAATATTCACATAGTATTTACATAAGAATAATTTTCCAGTGAATAACCTATCTAAATAATAATAATAATAATAATGTTCTTATGCGCATTTAAAAATCTCAATGCGCTTACAATGGCTTAAAACTATTTAAATTTACTGAAATAGTTTATATTTACATTATATATTAGTTAAAATTTAAACTTATATTACAGATAAAATAGATTTAGTGGAACAAAGTATTTTCGTATATAATATATTAGATATAATGTTAGCAAGCATATGCCTCCTTAAACAAATGAGTCTTCAAAAAAGATTTAAATTCTAAAATAGACTCAGCGGATTTAATGTATTCTGGCAAAGAGTTCCAAAGTTCCGGGGCAACATGAGAAAAAGCACGCTTTCCATATGTCGTGGTGTATATCTTTGGAGTGGAAAGCAGTGAACATCGGGAGGATCGAAGTGTACGTGTAGGACATCTTTCTTCAATAATTTTTTGAAGATAATCTGGAGCTAGGTTATGTAGTGACTTGTAAACTAGGAGAATTATTTTAAAATTTATTCGATATTTAATCGGTAACCAATGTAATTCTTTCAGTACGGGTGTTATATGATCAGATTTCTTTTTCCCTGTAATTAGCCGGGCTGCTGCATTCTGGACTCGTTGCAATTTGTCCAGCTCGTACTTGGGGAGTCCATACAATATACTGTTTGCATAGTCAAGACGAGAAATTACCAGTGCGTTTACAAGTCGTTTTAGGTCTTCTTTAGATAGATATTTTCTTATCCGGCCAATTGATTTTATGTTTAGAATGGCTTTCTTACACATCTCATTTATATGGCTGGATAAAGTCATGTTCTTGTCAAGTACAATTCCTAAGTTGACTACTTTATCTGACACTTGGACAGTAGTGTTGGCAAATGAGAGATTTTCTTGCAGATTTTGATGTTTTTTAAACCGAGATGAGAGATGAAGAACTTCAGTTTTTCCAGGGTTACAAAGTAGCATATTTCTGGTGTTCCACAAGATAACATCATTTATGCAATCGTTAAGCGTTTCATAGGACGTCAATGGATTATTAGGATTTATAGCGACATACAGATCGGAATCATCAGCATAAAACATAAAGTCCAGGTCGTATTTCGATATGACGTCTTCGAGTGGAGCTATGTAGAGTGTAAATAGCAAGGGGCCTAAGACTGAACCCTGTGGCACGCCATATTCAAGATGTCTTAATGTGGACACAACATCGCCAATTACAACAGATTGCGAACGTCCAGTGAGATATGATTTAAACCATTTTATTACTGTATCCGAAAATCCAAAATATGATTCAAGTCTTGCCAATAATATATCGTGATCTAAGGTATCGAAAGCTGACGATAGATCAAGCATTACAAGAATGACATCCTGGTGATTGTCAAGGGTTCTTAAGATGTCATTAGTTACTTTCAGTAACGCTGTCTCTGTAGAATGGAAATTTTCGATAAGCTGATTGGAAAGAAGGATAAAGGTTATTTGAATTCAGGAAATCTTGTGTTTGAACCGCAACTGTTTTCTCTAAGACTTTGCTAAGAAAAGGTATGTTGGCGATCGGTCTAAAGTTTGGAAATAGATCTTTATCAAGGTCTGGCTTCTTCAGACGTGGCTAAGATGAGATATCTTTAGTGTGTTTGGAAATACTCCTTCCGAGAGTGAGGTTTTAACTATATCTGTAAATAGAGGAGTCAAGGATTCTAGATGATTCTTAAGTACATGAGTAGGGATAGGATCTAACGAACAGGTCTTCGTAGACAGAGACTTGATGATTTGTTGCACAGAGCTCTCATCGGGTAGTTGAAATTCTTTAAACCTGCAAGGAGGCAGCTTCGGAGATTGAGGTGATATAGTTATTTCAAGGTTTTCTTTGTACAGTTCCAGTTCATTTCTAATATTTCGAACTTTATTGATAAAGAAGTCGTTAAACTCTTCAACAAGGAGCTCCAATGATGTATAAGATGGCAAGGCTTTGCTATTCTTTTGGAATAGTCCATTTACAAGGCGGAAAAGTTTGTTTCTGTCGGCTTGATTAATTTTATCTCTGTAATAGCTGGTCTTATAACTTTCTAGCATTTTGTTATACTTCTTACAGACTTCCGTAAATAATTCTTTGTGAATAGTAAGGCCAGACTTCTTGAATTTCCGTTCCAAGTGTCGTTTCTCGCGTTTAACTGCACGTAGGTCATCATTGTACCAAGGAGCCCATGGACGATAATTTATCTATCTTGTTTGTATAGGACATAGAGAATCGTAAATATCCTTTAGAGATCCATTATAAATATCTATCAATTCATTAATTTCAGTAACGTCAGAAATTTTATGGTCGGAAAAGGACTTCATAATGCGGTGTTTAAGAGTATCTAGGTCCAGGTGTTTGGTGGATCTGTAGGACACGAGAACTTTGGACAAAGGTGGCTTTGGACATTTTAATTCACATTTGACTACACGATGATCGGAGTACATTTCTTGTTGTATCTTTACATTACTAACAAGTTCATCGTCAAGCTGTGATATAATCAGGTCCAAGGTGTGGCCTCGTCGGTGAGTGGGTCCTGACACCATTTGAATCATGTTTGTACTATCCAATAGGTTTAGAAATTTTACAGTATCCGGGTTTGATTTGTTGTCAATGTGAAGATTAAAATCGCCCGCAATAAAAAATGGTTTATCGGAAACAGTAAGGTCCTCGATTAAATCGGAAAATTCAGTAAAAAACGTAGTAGGTGTTAGGTTGTTCTTTTTTGATGGCGGAGGCCTGTAGACTAATACCATGCGGGTATTAAAATTGCCAAATGTAACTGATAAATCTAGATGTTCAAAAGATTGAAAAGTTATGTCGGTGTATTTGGTTATTTTAAGACTCTTCCGAAAAAACACAGCCAAACCACCACCTAGGCCAGTTAACCTTGGCGCTTCTAAAACCGCAAAGTCTCTGATTGTATTCAGAACTTCAGCAGCCGATGAAAACTTTGTATTTTTCTACCAGTTAACCTTGGCGCTTCTAAAACCGCAAAGTCTCTGATTGTATTCAGAACTTCAGCAGCCGATGAAAACTTTGTATTTTTGTTGCTCCAAGTCTCTGTTACTGCAAGGATATCTAGTTTATTAGACTGAATTATGTCACATATAATTGCAGCTTTCTTATTAATAGATCTAGCATTCCATAAAGCAAATCGCATGTTCGAGCCCAATTTGCAAAGTTGATCATTATCGATATTTACGTAAACAAGATTAGTTGGGTTTCTGCGGTTAATTACTTTCCGATTATGACGCGATGATATTCTCACGGGAATACCAGCCATTGATATGTTGTTGTTTTTTTGACATACTTCAGGGACGCCAGATTTTACTTGCAAATTCGAGGTACATGGAATAGAAAAGCAATTTCGGAAGCTTCTACTATAACGGCAGTGGCTTGAAAAACGCTTTTCATTTCTGGTAGAAATTCTAACCGGTATTTGCTTATCGACTTGATCAAGTTGCCGAGGAGTGACCCAATGAGATTCGTTGTAAAAAGTTCGGAGCTTAAAAGCATTAGTGTTGATATTGTTTGAATAGCAGTTGCAGTTTGTTCCAAGAGCCGATAATTTCCCAGCATTTATTTTCTCGCCATTAATACAGGTTCTAAAGTCATTTTGATTAGGAACACAAGTTGTAGGTCCAGGATTCGGTGAAACATCACAGCAGAGAGCAAAGTAAGCCTTCAGAGTCACAGTACTGTTGAATGGCAATGCTAGATGTGTTGCTCCATGTTTATGAAATTTGGCTGCAGAGGTCTTCAAAGCAGCAGAGCGCTGGCTACGTTTCACTAAAGTTGATCTATTGACCAAGCATAAGCCAGAAAATAAAGAGGTTTCACGTAAAATAAGTAAAAAGAAGTACAGATAGACTAAAGTACCAAGAGCGTAAACAACACGTCCGCACCGCATGAGAAAATTGGTACGAACTATAATAATGGACCATGCACGATAAAGGGTCGATGTGGGCCAGGCATTGCTTTATGGGCCCCCTATAGTGTGCACACCTCATAGTGCTTTCT